GAACAGTGATATATGGTGAGTGGCTTCGAAGGGAACTTGGAGGTGGTGGTGTTCCCATATGTCTGCTGCTCTTGTCCTTCTAGATGGAAGTGGTCATGGGTTTGGAAGGTGCTGTCTGAGAATCTTTGGTGAATTTCTGCAGTGCATCTTGTAGATAGTATACACTACTGCTACTAAGCATCGGTGGTGGAGGGAGTGGATGCTTGTGGATGTAATGCCAATCAAGCGGGCTGTTTTGTCCTGGATGGTATCAGGTTTCATGAGTGTTGTTGGGGCTGCACTCATCCAGGCAAGTTGGGCATATTCCACCATACTCCTGACTTGTGCCTTGTGATGGTGGACAGGCTTTCAGGGGTCAAGAGTTGAGTTACTCACTACAGCATTCCTAGCTTCTGGCCTGCTCTTGTAGCCACTGTGTTTATGCGGTGACTCCAGTTGAGTCTCTGGTCAATGATAACTCCCAGAATGTTGATAGTGGGGGATTCAGTGATGATAACACCATTGTACATCAAGGGATGGTGGTTAGATTGTCTCTACAGGTGATGGTCATAGCCTGGCATTTGTGTGGTGCGAATGTCACTTGCTACTGGTCAGCCCAAGCCTGGATATTGTCCAGACTTGTTGCATTTGAACATGGACTGCTTCAGTATCTGAAGAGTCACGAATGGTCCTGAACATTGTGCAATCATTGGCGAACATCCCCACTTCTGACCTTATAATAGAGGTAAAGTCATTAATGAAGCAGCTGACGATGGTTGGGCCAAGGACACTACCCTGAGGAACTCCTGCAGAGATGTCTTGGAGCTGAGATGAATGACCTCCAACAACCATGTATCAGGTATGACTCCAACCACCAGAGAGTTTGCAGACTGATATGCATTGATTCCAGTTTTGCTAGGGTTCCTTGATGCCACACTCACCTCACCTCTGGAATTCAGCTCTTTTGTCTATGTTTGAACCAAGGCTGTAATGAGGTCAGGAGCTGAGTGGCCCTGGCAGAACCCAAACTGGTTGTCACTGAGAAGGTTATTGCTGAGCAGGTGCTGCTTCATAGCACTGTTGAAGACACCTTCCATCACTTTACTGATGATTGAGAGTAGACTGTTGAGGTCGTAATTGGCCGGGTTAGATTTGTCCTACTTTGTGTGTACAGGACATACTTGGGCAATTTTCCACATTGTCGGGTAGATACCAGCATTGTAACTGTACTGGAACAGCTTGGCTAGGGGAGCGGCAAGTTCTGGAGCAGAAGTCTTCAGTACTATAGCCAGAATGCTGTCAGGGCCCATAGCCTTTGCAGCATCGAGTGTCTCCAACCGTTTCTTGATATCACGTGGAGTGAACTGAATTGAATTAGCTGAAGACTGGTATCTGTAATGCTTGGGACCCACTGGAGGAGGCCGAGATGGATCATCCACTTGGCACTTCTGCCTGAATGTTGCTGCGAATACTTTAGCCTTATCTTTTGCACTGATGTGCTAGGCTCTTCCATCATTGAGGATAGGGATATTTGTGGAGCCTCCTCCTCCAGAGAGTTGTTTAATTGTCCACCACCATTCACTACTGGATGTGGCAAGACTGCATGGCTTAGATCTGATCTGATGGTTGTGGGATCGCTTAGCTCTGTCTATCACTTGCTGCTTTTACTGTTTGGTGTGCAAGTATCCTGTTTCACAGCCTCACCAGGTTGATACCTCATCTTCAGGTATGTCTGGTGCTGCTCCTGGCATGCCCTCCTGCACTCTCCATTGAACCGGTGTTCATCCCCTGGCTTGATGGTAATGGTTGAGTGGGGGATATGCTGGGCCATAAGTTAACAGATTGTGCTGGAGTACAGTTCTGCTGCTGTTGATGGCCCACAGCGCCTCATGGATGCCCAGTCTTGAGATGCTAGATCTGTTGAAGTCTGTCCCATTTAGCACAGTGGTAGTGCCAGACAACACGATGAAAGTTATTATCAATGTGAAAGCGGGACTCCGCAAGGACTGTGAGATGGTCACTCTTACCGATACTGACAGGGACAGATGTAACTGCATCTGTAATACTTCTATAGAAATGACATTTACTTGATCAGTAAGGGAATCAAGGGTTATGAGAAAAGGCAAGAAAGTGGATATGAGGAGCGTGTTTGATCAGCCATGATCTTATTGAATGTCTAAGGAGGCCCAAGGGGCCAGTTAGCCTTTTTCTATGTTATAGATATTGGTGAGGTTGGTATGTCTGCTTCCCACTGCAATAGTTTGCCTATCCTTGCACATTCCCCTCAAGTGGGACAGCCAACCTTCTGTGTTGCCTACTTGGCTATCACCCTCCACTTCCATAGTCTGTATGGAGAACTACAGTCTATATTTATAACAGGTTATCCCAATTTTCAGATTTTGCTAGTTCAAATATTGGCCCATTTAAGAGTCTGGACACATGGAGATTAGGGTTCTAGTCTCTGAACGCTAGGCTGACATCCAACAAGGTAAGTTTGACTAATAAATATTTACAGCACAGGAGGCTTTTCAGCTTACCATATCTGCACCACTCAACAAAGATCTGACTAAACAAATCCTGTTTTCCAACTTTTGCCCATAGCCCTGGAGGCTATGAAAATACATGTAAATACATTAATGTTGCTTGAATGATACAAGAGTTCCTGAATCCATCATCCTTTCAGACAGTGAGTTCCAGATTCCCACCACCCTCTTGAGTGAAAAAGATTCTCTCAATTCTCCTTTTAGCCTTCTGCCTCTTAAATGTTTTCCCCTGGTTATTGACCCCTCTACCAATGGAAAAAGTGCTTTTTTATCCACACCCCTCGTAATCTTATTGATATTATCTAACTAATCTGCTCAGAGATATTATTACACAACTCTGGAGCAAGTGGGACTTGAACCTGGGCCTCCTGGCTCAGAGGTAGAGACATGTTTATCAGGTCTCTTCTCAACTTTCGCTGCACCAAGGTAAACAGCCCCAGCCTGTTCAATTTCTCCTTATAGCTCAGACCCACCAGCCTGGGCAGCACCCCGGTAAATCTCCTCTGTACCCTTTCTAGAATGGGAATGGAATGGCAAGTCTCTCCATACATCTAGCCAGTTTCCCTGCAAAAAGTGAAGTTCAGCTTTCCGTCTGTTTATTGAGAAAACATCTTTGTTATGGAAACAACACACCTGTTGCATGTAAAAGCAAGAAGGAAATGGTCTCATCTGCTGCTTGGCATTGAAGTGAAAGAGGAGGAAAATGAAGAAGAGAAAGGAAGTGCCAACAGATACCTTCGTTTCTACTCCCTGAAGGTGGGCACAAGCAGAGGCTTTAGATCCCTGAAGAGCCCTGTTTTAACTGGCTCTTTGGATAATTAGGTTCCCAAAGAAGGATCATGGAAAGAGGTTCTCATGCTTCAATTTCTACCCTCAGGTATCCAACATATAAAAAGCTAGGCCATTGGTAAAGTCTGAGGTACAGAGTATAAGCCAGTAAAATCAGCTTCTAAATACAATGAGAGGAAGAGAAAAGTGACATTGTTGTGATGCAGTTTACAGTTGGTTAGTCATAATGGATAAGCTCAGTGCTAAGAAATATGACATAAAAGAATTTGCAAAACTTTTTGAATCTCTTGTTCACTTTTCTTTTACTGTTATCTATTTAATCCAGAAGTGAACAACTAATTGAGGGAAATTTCAATTTAGGAATAGAAGACGCAGGAAAGCAACAGCTAATGACTCCATGAAAGTCCATTCTGTTGGTCCCCTAACATCTCAACTGCATTTTCCTTAAGTTTGTATCTCTGTCAGTGCCTTAACACATTGTTAGATATCTATGTGAGAAGCCTTTCTGATAAGTATTTTAAATCGGGGATTATTTTATTATTCCGAAAGAGCTAGAAACTAATTACTTTGTAAATATATAATCCATGGTGGCACGTTCACTGCTGCACCACAATCAGTGTCTGGTAATAATGTGTCAGTCTATCAGTCCATAATCCGTGTGGAAAACTGAAAGAAGTATTTCCATTAGCCTCCAGCAATTTGAGTCAAAAGTGTGATTATTTCTTACTTACTGGAACCAGAAGTCATGACAGAGCAACTTAAATTAATGAATGTTAGAATATAGTAGATGACAAAGGAGGCTGCTTGGTCTGTCAAATCTAGCAATGGCAATAACTGACATCTTTTAGATTGCTCAAGCTCCAGTAATTTATTTTCCAAAGTACAATATTGTTCCAAATCAATTCAATTCTTTGGCTACAAACTCGACAGTTATACAAATTTGGTCAAGTCTAAATGGAGCAGAAACGTGGACACAGCATTGACATGGACAGATTTCCCCTGCAATTTTTTAAAGGTTATACAAGTACGGTTACACAGTTTCTAAACAAGAGCAGATGCAAATCACATTGGATTCTTATATTTAAGTTCCAGCGTTATGTAAAAGAAGCTGACTTCTCCAAATTAACTGGCAGTCCAGGTGGCCTCTGTGACGAGAGAAACCTATGTCGCCTGACCCAGAGCGTTTTGCACCCACAGTATTTAGTTTCACACATACAGCATTCATGTTACGGAGCGTGCTGAAAGCGCTTATCTAAAGAAGTTAGTAAGAACTGCCGATGCTGGAGACTGAGACACAGTGTGGAGCTGGAAGAACACAGTTTATCCAATCTGTTCCTGCGCATTAGCTAAAACAACATTTAAAGCTTCAGAAACAAAACTTCATTTTGCCTTAACTTTAAAAACTTTTGGGTTTTTTTCCCGTATTTTGCGTTATTATCCTCATCTATTTAATCCAAACTGCCCTAGCAAGGGTAAACCATCGGCTGAGGTACTCACACTTGGTAAAATCTCCGTAACGAGTTGAGGGCAGTGAATCATTTGGTTTTGAGGTAGCGTTTAGTTGATAGATTAGGAAATTCTTTTATATCCTGCTTTAACTCAAACAGATCCCTAGCTAAGCAGAAAGAAATCAGCTGTCAATCATACTCAAGATGGGAAGTGGGAGCGAAATGAAGAAAAAAGACTTACGGGTCTTCCCAGAGCCTTGAAGGAATGATGTTAAATATTTTCCATTATCCTGCCGATTTGTCCTTTAGAGAGAGATTCCTCTTTGCTGGGTGCTGAAGCAGTCGAAAGTCAAATCCCCAGAGCAAGGTCTGGCAGCGTGAGCTCCCTGAAGTTAGTGGTGCGCGTAGGGTGTGTGTGTCTGCAGAACTGAACAGTCAATTTCAGTGGCAGCAGGCCAGATGCTGAAGCCACCCTTAGTTCCTGACAAGCGGCGTCCACCTGTGTCTGTCTATCACATCCACGTCAGTTGGGAACAGTTTTTTTTCCCTGATGCTATCTGTACCTCCCTAGAGCCAAACAGCTGGGAGGGGAAAGAAGTGGATTGAAGGCAAATCTTTTTGGATTTATTTGCCTGTCAAGTGGCTGACAGTAGGGAAGATAACATTCGGGGAGAGCTGCAGGTACCATGTGAAATCAACTTCTGCAGCGTGAAGGGAGCCCGTTAAATATGTTAAAGCAAAGAGAAGCTGGTGCAATGAACTGTCCTACCCCCTCGGGCACAAAGCAAGACACATCACAAGCTCTGCTACACTCTGGGATGGGTGTGTGAGCTGAGGAAATGGGGAGTAATACTGAAAACTTGGAGTTCTGGATCAAATTGCTGGAGCAGTTAATAATTACAGTCTTAAACAATTCAAAAGTGAACTCAACACTTAACTTGGATCCGCTCGAAAATGCTTGAAACTAAAAGTTCCGTGTAATCAAAATATGCTTAGCGTGAATATAATTATACAGTCAAGTCAATTGAAAACAAAGCAATATTTTTCAGTTTATAATCCAGTCCGGGTTGTCGAAATGATTTGAGATTCCAACTCCTATCCAGTGTTTACACAGTCAGAATATATTTGTACTGTGGTAATGTGCTGGGTTAATGTAAATGTAATGGAAACACATACATAAATTCATATTAACACAGTCGGAATACCCAGAGTCTAAAAGAAAACTAAAAGAAAATTATAACGACTGAAGGAGTGAAGTTGATTATAATTAGTTGAAACTCACTGTGGCAAACCCAAGCGATCTGGTCCCAGAAACATAGGGTGGTGCTGAGGTTTAGAATGAAGGTGTTGTAAAAAGCCTGAAAAGAATATTTAAATATTTTTTGTATAATGAATCTGGCAACATATTGCATTTATATTGTGTTTTTAACATAAAAACAAACTCCAGGCACTTTGTGAAGAGAAGCTCAGCTACAACTGAGTTTTTAAAAAATACGTTTGAGCTTGTCTCAAAGTGCACCCTTTGCTTACTTCAAATCTAGATGAGATGCCACGAAAAGAATTCACTTTCTTCTGGCTGCAGGATCAAGAAACCATGGTTTAGCTCAAACATATGGGAATCGGGGGCGGGGGAGGAGGGGGAAACTCTCCTCCGATTGGAGTCTGGCACAGAAGAACATGGTTGTGGTAGTCAGAGGTCAGTCATCTGAGCTCCGGGATATCAGTGCAGGAATTCCTGTGGTGTCTTTGACCTATCTTCAACTGCTCCATCAATAACCTTCCCTCCATCATAAAGTCAGAAGCTGGGCTGTTCGCTGATGATCAAACATTGTTCAGCACCATTCACAACTCTTCAGATGCTTAAGAAGTCTACGTCCAAATGCAGCAAGACCTGGACAATATCCAGGTTTCGACAACAATAAGTGGTAAGTAACACTAGTGCCATACAAATATCAGGCAATGACCATCTCCAAAAGAGAGAATTTAGCTATTGGCCATTGACCTTCTATGGCATCACCATCACTGAATCCATCTTGTCAAAGATCAACTGCCCTCTGTAGTCTGTATTAAGACTATATAGATGGAAAATTCCAGTTGCTTCCATGCCAAACTGGCCACCATAGTTATAAATGACTTGCAATTCACAAATGAATAGTGTCATTGACCATTTTACACCAGATTTGAAAGCCAATCTGGATCTCTTCAATTTATCCCTTATCCTCTGTTGTCACGTGCATTCAATATAAAATATAGTGAAAAGTGTTTACATAAGCAGCTTTCAAAGAACAAAATAAAAAAGATAACTTAAAGAGAATCCAACTATTTGAGGAAAGAAAAGAAGGGGTTGAAGGAAAAAGAAGAAAAGATAAATGCAGATGAGGAGGACAAGCTCGGGTACAGGAGTCCAAACACTGCTTACTCTGCCACTGCCATCTTGTGTGCAAGAAACTCAGTCTGCCTTTGAATGTTGCTAAAAACAAAGCTCCAACCCTAGTCAGTGAAATATTCCACCTCCCGTATGTTGAAACAGAGATCCTAGGATATACTGAGCACTTCCTAAACCTTAGCAGCAGCCTCATTCAAAAGCCCAACAACGTTAATGTGGAGATCCAATAGTGGATCAGTTGCACTAGATCTGCCTTCTGCAAAACATGGTCAGGAACATTTGACAACAAAGACCTCAACATGTCAACAAACACCGAGTATGCAGAACAGCTATTGTCAGCACATTCCTACATTGTAGTGAGACCTGTACTGTAAGAGGAACTCCACCAGTAATATCTTCATCAAATACTCTGAATTCACTGGGAGGTCTGTTGAACAAATGTCAGTGTCCTTCATAAAATCGGATATTCAGAAAAGACATTCAGAAAAATTCCTCAAAGATCATCTTTGATGTTGTGATGTGTGTCCAGATAGCTGAAAACAATCTCCTCTACCAAATTCTGTTCTGTCAGATCTTAAACAGCCAACATTCTGGGGAGGACAAAGAAAACACTTCAAACACTCTGAACTCTCCTTGAAGTGCAACAGCATTGACATTAATGACTGAGAGGTGCTTGCTACCGATCATTTCAAAGGTTGATAAATTGTCCATGAAAATGTATCATGCTTTACATCGCACTATCTTAATGATGAGACAGAGTGCTGGCAGTAATAAAAGGAAAGAGGGCCTGCACTCTGCATACCACTACCTTAAGAATATCCTGTCCTATGCACCCAAAGATTTGTGAATCAAGACCTGGCCTGTTTAGTTGCATGAAGACCCATGTCAGAAACCAAGTTCACTTCTGAGTAGGCATCATTCTTGGATCAAGGGACAGCCAATGACAGATATTCCAGCAGTAATTACATTAAAAAGAATCTTGAGAGTACACACAAAACTATTTACAAAGTGGTGCAGGATGGTTTGACAGCAACCATATTGCAACATGGAATGGCAAAGCTCAACTTCTGTTTAGCACTATAGCCAGGGTTAACTTTTGTTTAGCTGAAACAATTGTGACCACCCCAATTTCCTGAGACTTTGGTATTTTGCTTTTACAGTGCAAACCATGCGGTACTCTCATATACCTCTAGGCAGCTGGCTATAAACCAACATTATGAGAGGGCTGCCCATCCTTTTGTGTGTGTGTGTGAATGTGTGTGTGTGTGTGTGTGTGTGCCTGTGTGTGTAAATGTGTGTGCGTGTGAATATGTGTGTGTGTGGTATGAAGAGATTTGCAACAATCCTGCACTTCCAGAAGGGTCCATGTTCAAAGGGAACACAGATCAAATATTAACATTCTAGAATGTGGTCTTAATTTTTGGATCTGTATTCAATTTGTCTGTGAGTGTGGGAGAATTGAATTTTTCTCTTAAAGTACACGAACAATAGTAAATTAGAAGAGTTATTATTGAATCTATCTGGTATGTTTCTTCTCACAATCCTTATGGTATAATTGTTATTCAGCTCAAAAGCTCATGAGATGTATCGAGAAAGTGATGGAGTAACAGACGATGGTCTTTGCCATTTAACACTATGGGATACATTACTACAATATTTCCAGCTAACTTAAGACTTCTTTTCTGATTTGCAGCCAATACTGTATGCTTGATACGCTTCCTCTGCATTGCAGCAAAGTGTGCAAAGGATCCAAACTCAGCCTTCTGACTACAATCTAAGAGTGTTATCAAGTTGATACTTCCAGATATCGGAACTATTCCTTACAACTCATCTCTTTGGCCAAGTTTTTGGCCATCTAATTTCTCCTTGTATGGCTTAGTGTCAAAATTTATTTGAAGTTGGTTCTGTGAAGTGTCTTAAGATTTAGTCGTTGTTAAAAGTCATAGAAAGAGTCATAGAGCTTTTACAACATGGAAGAAGGCCCTTCCACCATTGTGTCCATGTTGGTTATCAAGCATCTAATTTTTCTGAAGAAGGGTCTAGGCCCGAAACGTCAGCCTTCCTGCTCCTCTGTGGTGCTTGACCTGCTGTGTTCATCCAGCTCCACACCTTGTTATTTCCAATTTTTCTAATCCAATTTTACAGCAGTTGGCCTGTAACCTTATATGTTATAGAGTTTTAGAAATTTTAGAATTTAGAATTACATTTACTGTCACATGTACTCATGTGAGTACAGTGAAAAGTTTACAGGTCAACACTTACGGCGCCATCTTAGGTGCAAAGGTACATATGTACAGAAACCCAGGTACAAAGCAGAAACATAAAGACTCAAGGTTACAAAATTAAATATTACAGTGCTTCTTATTAAAAAGTAGAAAAACAAAAAAAAAACAGTGTTTGTCTAAATACTTCTTCAATATGTTGAATGTTACTGCCCCTACCACTCTTTCAGGCAGTGAGTTCCAAATACCCACCGCATTCTGGGTGAATATTTTTTCCTCAAATCACCTATAAACTGTTCGCTCCTTACCTTAAAACTGTGTCCCTTGCTTATTGACCCCTCTATAATGGGGAACAAAGTTTCTCCCTATCTCCTTCCCTTTGCTCTTCGTGGTTTGGTACACCCCAATCAGCACGCCTACCCCGACTGCCTCAGCCTTGCTTTAAAGAAAACAACCCAGCCTACTTTGTCTGTTTTCATTGCTGAAACTTTCTAGCCCAGGCAACATGCTGGTGAATCAACATGGTGTAATCACATCCTGCCTATAGTGTGGCAACCAGAACTGAACACATTACTCCTGCTGTGGCCTATCTAACCTTATATACAGTTCCATCATAACCTCCTTGATCTTGTATTCACTGCCTCGACTAATAAAGACAAGTTTTCCATATTCCATTTTAATCACATTATCCGCTTGTCCTGCTGCCTTCAAGGATCTGTGGACATGCACACCAAGGTCCTACTGATGCTTTGTATTTCCAAGGGTCTGACTATTAAACATGTACTCCCTTACCTTGTTAGTCTACAGGTTAGCTCATTTGGCTGGATGGCTAGCTTGTGATGCCAACCATGGGTTCAATTCCGATACTGGCTGAGGTGACCATGAACCTCACCTGAAGTATTGATGATCCTTGGGTTAAACCCACCACCAGTCAGCTCTCTCTTATGAAAGAGTGGGACAATGGCAACTTTACCTTATAGTTCTCCCTAAATGCATTAACTCATTGTTTTTAGGATTAGATTCTATTTGCCACCATTCAGCCCATCTGATTACCCTGTCTGTATTGTCCTGTAGTCTAAGGCTTTCCTCTTTGCTAAAGATGCTATACAAATGCAAGCTCCTATTCTTTAAGCCTCAAAATTAGAAGTGGCTCCTTTTCCA